ACTTATAAATCCTACATTCAATGGGAACGAAAAAAATACAAACTACCAACACACCTTTCATCAGAGTCATCGTCATCATCATCATCAACTGGATCATCAGCATCCAGGTTTGAGGGAGGGGGTTGATCTAGCCGGGGTCTTTTTGTCTGTTCAGCAGTTGATCTGCTTCCTTTCTCCTTGGTTCTTTCGCGGGCTGCCTGACGTTCACGTTCTTCCAAATCTTTGCGGAAGTCTTTGCTACGCAGTTCTTCAACAGTATCTTGACCTTTTTGTCTATGGGTTGAGATGTCTTACATGTAAACTAGAGTAAAGCACTCTATGACCAGTCCATTACTCTATTAATGAACCCTCTCCTTTAATCCCTTAAAAAATCTACATTTCAGGAGTGGTTCAGAGTTCAATTTGTGTGTTTATACGGATTTTTTTTTAAATAAAATAACATAAAATTAAAAGACTGGATACTGTTAATTGTGATCATCACGTCGTTCAAGTCCAACAGTCTGAGAGTGTATTCAAATACCTACATTCAAAAATAGGCTACAAAATAAAGGCACATCAACGACAGAAATTTGTCATCAACCTACCTGTGTTTTAGTTTTGTGTGTGAAGGCAAGTCGCGACTCGAGTACTGTTTTGACAACGCTGAAAGATCTCCTTCGCCCTTTCCGCGGCCCCCTTTTGCGGTGTCCCATGTCGGTCTAGCCGCGGTTGTCATATTTCCACGCTTTCTTCGCTACTAAATATCTCTTATGCTCTTCTGTAGTCACCAATTTACTGAAAAGAAATGTGTAAACTGCTCTTCGCTTTCACGAGTTTTCGAATTCAATATGGCGTCCCTCGATTAATGACCGCTGACCAAATGTTAACCTTTCGTTTGTCGTGTACAAACCACTGGTTTGTACCTCGGTATCTGGCTGTCCCTCGCATGACACCCCGCAATGAATATTTCCTTCAAAAATTACGAGAGTGGGTGATTATTCACGATATTTCAAGGAAGTGACCATATTGATAGAGTAGGTAGGAGAATTTGTTCTCAGGGCCCCTTGTTACCTCTTTGACTTCATTGCCACTAGACGATAGCCGTGTCACTGATGTTCTTACCATTTTTGAGGTTTACTGTGATCAATTACTGAAGAGATGCACGGCAACAAGGAATCTTTTATTACATGATAGAACACAAAAAGGTTAATGACATCATCTAGATACTTCTGTCCTCAAATTGATCATAAGAACCAATCAAAAAGCACTTCATTCTCTCCCACTTGTTCACACAATATTAAAGATATTTATAATCCACAAAATATGTTTGCTCACACTAGTTTGGTTGATTGGTTTAAACGGATCATGTGACTGAAATGTGCAAAAAAAAAAAATGGAAGGATAATGAACACAACAGCCTCCAGTTGACTTTAAAAGTACACTCTGCCATTTTTTTTTTTTTTTTGTCCTGGGATATATTTATCGTTCCTTGAAGCTCATGTTTTCCTTAAGCTTCACTCAAAGAAAACTGTTCACTTCTTGGAACAAATAATGACCAAAGACAAATATCCAAACACACTGTTTATCTATGTATTGTTATTAGAAATTCGTCAACTATCATTTAATTAATAGGTCAATGGTAACATACAGTCTAAACATTAATTACAATGTTAACTGCTGAATGGTATCCTTTCTTGTGTCAATGATATAATTTTCTTATTATAATATTTACTTCCACTGTATTTTTGGAAATACAGTTTTTTTTTTTTGGAAATACAGATGATTACAGTGACTTGCCCTAAATCTCGGGCGAGCAATATCACATGTAAGAATATTATCATGTGAATCTAGTAGCTAACATGTTTATTTTATGTTCAGAAATTAAAATTATGTACTTGTGATCTGTTCACTGACTGTCAAACCTGCCCTAGCTCAATAAGTTGTACGATGCAGCTTTGTTTTTGTTTTTTTCTTTAATGTGCAATCAATAAATAACTCAAAACCTCATTTTGTAATAAATTACAACTGATGTAACAATATAAACTTGTGTATATTTGAACAAATTTCCTAACAACCTGTATTGATCCACTCTTCAATATAAAAATATTGTGGATACATCATATTGTATGTTATAAATAGTATATTATGAAATACAGTAGCCTGCAGTACAGGCACTGCTGCTGATCAAGCACTCAAAAACAGAGTTTTTTGCATATGTTATTTCTCAAAAACGAAGAGCAAACCAGGGGAGAAAAATACCGGGTGACGTTTTTCTATCATTAAAATTCAGGTACTTTTGAGGAAAAAACACACAAAATTGTCACTTAGCATGGTTTGCACTCATCCCTTCAATTATTATTTACATACATGGCCAACTTGGAGTCTTGACAAAATTTAGAGTGTTGGAATGAGAGAACCAAACCCCGTACAATGCACTTTCTGTCACTCCCCAAGCCGACCCTGTTTTCTAAATTCAAGATGGCACTCGCCTGATCAAAATGCATTTGCTTACTAACCACACTAACATAACAGCTGAGAGGTAAAAGAGTATTTAAATAATGATCACCAATCTATCGTAATAGTCAGGTGATATGAATAAAATAAATCATCAACCTTTTTTTTTTTTAATTTTGAGGGCCTCATGAAAATCATCTATGATTAGTGTGGTTCCTTTCTTAAAGTTGTTATTGCTCTCATTGACTGCTTCAAAGAACTAGTTGAAAACATTTCCAAAAATTTCTCTAATCCCAGCAAGTCACCTATATTCACTGTATAGTTCCAGAAAATAACCATACTATGAAAAACCTCCCTGTCCCTCTAGAAATTCCAGTTGTGGTTCATACTTAAATTTCCTTTGAAATATTTTGGGTTTTGAGACCCTCTTCCCTTGGAATCTCCAATAACCTTCCTTGGATTTAGCCTCCTACGCAGATGCTCTTTGGGCTCATCAGGAGGAAGATAATTTGCGTGACGAGCCCAAGGAGTGTCTGGAGGCTCCCTTGGATTGGGCATGGATATTTTCTAGAGATATGTGGAGGGTTATTGGGAATTCCAAAGGGAAGGGGTATCTCAAAAGCCAAACATTTCAACAGAAATTAAAGTATGAACCAAAATTGGAATTTCCAGAAGAAAAGGAAGAGGGGGTTTATGTTAATTCAAAAATCTCTCCATGGAAGGGGAATGGATATTTATTCTGGAACAAGACAATTCCAAAAAATCATAGCTGCTCAGGACAAGGCAAGTGCATTCGCAGTTGCTACTTTGATATGCTTTGCTCCCCCCACCCCCCCTCCCACCCCATGATATTTTTTCTGGATTTCTCCTCAGCGAGAGGGGGTACACATGTAAAAGGCTGGACGGGATGAGAGGCATGGGGGAGGGCAAGATCCTCTTTCGACTGCAAATTTTCACAAAATTCACATCATCATGCCAAGAATACTTTTAAAACTTATAAATATAATCATAAATTCACGAAACACATTTCTCACTTATCTACTTTTCACACGTCCCACACCATTTTTGTCCTCATCATGTGCAAAATATAATCCCTTCCTTACCCTCCAATGTTAATTAAGTTTGAGCAGCCATTAGTAGCTGTCTCTGTATTTTTACGGGTGTAGCAACATAGGGAAGGTGGCGCTGAAAACAAATCACAGCTACAAAATAGCTCTGACGTACTGTATCACACTTCACTACTGGCAGATTGACCTTCAAATCTTCATCCATAGAGGCCTTCCAAAATCCCTTTCAAAACAACATTTGGCAAAGGATTCACGTCACAGTTGTCTTTAAAAGGGTCTTTAGTGAAACACATCAATGGCTGATGAGTTAGTCTAGGCCCTTCATCTTCGTATCTATCCAATTCGTCCATCGAACTCCCTCTTGATGAATCCAAATTATTGTGAACATGTTGCGGCAGACTAGTGTCCAAGAATTGCGTCAAGAGGTCATGAACTTCGCTAATTTCAATGAAGGAAACAAGATTTTTCAGGTACTGTTCCAGAGCTTCTCTCCTTGACTCTAGAAACCGAGGATTTGTATTGAGAGGTTTCGGCATTTTCTTTGATGGAAAATGTAGATGATGTCGCGTATCATGCTCAAGTAATTTTCCCACTTGTTTGTGAAAATCGTAGAACTCGCTGTAGCGTCTCTCTGTTATGACTTCACGTCCGTTGGGCAATGTGATGTGAATTTCATATACTGTATATTCCTTGTCATCTTTGACTTTTCTGAACGAAGGAATCGACAAATCAAGCATCCTTTACGGTGGCCGGATATCGTATTTTGACGACGCTCCGAGAGGCTCGGCACGTTTCATGGTTCACGCGGTGCAGCAAAAATATACGCCCCCCACCCCCTCCCCCCGACCGAGTACAATGTGAGGCCTACCAAACTCGTTCCCAGGGTCTATCTCTTCCTCCTTTACGGCAAAAGATAAGACCCTGGGAACGAGATTGGAATATTATAGATTCTTCCTCGAATAAAAGTCTTTAAAAAATATTCGAACTAAACTGGGGTAAATTTTTACCCATACCATAATTAAAATAATTTGCAAAACTCTTTTCTTGTATCCACTTATGGCAGGACATGGAGATCAAAATGATTAAACTATTTGCAGTATGCGGTCGCCGAATTTAGGACAGCGGGCTCAGATTACATTTCGAAGGAAGGTTTGGGCGGTAGTGTTATGTGGACATGGTAGGGGCCTGTGATTTTATTTTATGTTGAGAAGATCCTCGCTTTGCAAGTGTTCAGGTTACGAATAAGAGAAATGACATGTTCTTTTATTCATGTTATATGTTGTAGCACAGGTTAAAGTCTTCCCAGCGCGAGAAAGTGAGGCAGTTTATCTCCTTCACTGAGACGAACGAGAAGACCGCAATAAACTGTCTCAGTCAAAATGATTGGAGGTTGGACGTGGCGTCAGATAGTTATTTTCAAAATCCAGAAAGATATTACATCGATACGAAACCTTTAATAGACAAGAAAAAGCTGTCACACTTGTTTGATCGTTACAAAGGTATGCATAGACATGCTTTGGAACTTCCTTGCTTATTATTTTGTTTGTATCGATTTTATATATAAGCTTATCGCTCTGGATGTGCTCCCTGGTTTGAAGGTTTATTCAATGTTTAATTGATAGTTAAGTAGCTTATCGCATTCTTTACGTTGCGTTGTTTAACTTCAACATCCTTTGTTTTGTAAACGTTAGTTTTTAAATTGACGTGAACATTTCCGGTTAGTTTTTATTAACATGACTAGCAAAAGATACATTTTACTATGTACAGTGAGATTTGCATTCAATGTCAATTCTGTTTTTTAAACCTCTTTGTCGTGTTTGACTGCATATTGGTCACAGCAAGGTTCCCTGGTGGCTTGCCCAGGAAATGTTGCACTAATCAGCTTTGAGAACCCCAATTGTTGTGATGTTGAACTTTTGATAATGGTTAACTTAGGTGTGTCACGGATATGGCGGATAGCATCAAAAAGTTTCAATAACAATCCATCAAATATTTTGCTCACACATGATTGGTCTAAATGTGGTACATGACAGAGTATTCCCCAGCTAAACCTGGGAAATACCTGAGTGATATCCCCCAGTTTTCAAAACTGTGAAGGACGATTAATGCACTAGCCTCCATTTGACTCTAAAACATGCTTGT